TAGTACTTCATGTAATGTATTTGTGTCAGTTTGAGACGTTCCAACAGATACATCCCTAATCCACATAACTATAGCAGAAGACCATAAAGCCTTGAGACCTTGGTTTCCACAGACACAAGATTCCAGCCAACAACATACAAGAAATAGATCACCAGAGTTAGCTGGTACAATTCTAAGAGACAAAAACACCGTCATGCTCTTGTGACTTGAGAAATCGAAAAAAATGGCTTAATTTCTCTCCTCTAAGCACAGGAACAGCCTTCCTGTCATCAGGTCAGATGCCCACTGAGCTTAGCATGCCAACCTAGAAAACATTAGTGTTGCACAGTCTATGCTACACAGGGAAAGAAATTTAAACCAGTATTACCTGAATATGCGTGTCCTGACTGAGGTGTACCCTTGTCTTGGTAGAGCCTTGGGGTAACGTTAATCAAGAATTAACAAGGGGTCCCTCAAGGAAATTTTTGATGGCCCTACGCTGATCAGTTCCAATTACAGAACCACACAACCAGTAACCTTCTGCTTCTTAGAGGACACAAAACCAAATAAGCAACAAAACATTAAACAAAAAACAACAAAAAAAAGCCACCACAACAGGAAATAAAAAAAACACATTAAAAAAAAAAGAAAGAAAGAATAGAGAAAACCACAGTGAATCGTGAAGTCACTCTACACAGGAAAACACACCCAACCCAAACCACTAGGAAAAAGTACAAAACTGTACAAGACGTACAAACTCTAAGTCTCACTTCCTGTTTATGATCACTGCCACCATTTTTTCAGGCAAATATTTCTCCTTCCTCTTCTCCAAAAGGAAAGATGTCAATTGCAGGGTCCACAAGAAGGATCTCCACAGTTAGAGATAACCAACTTGAGCTGGAATTAATCATGAAGAAGGAGAACAGCATGATTCATCACTATCAGGGTCAACTTCTCTGCAACATACTTGCTCTCAGACATGCTGGTCAGAAACTGACTGCAATTACACAACTACGCACCCAGGGAATACTGGAAAAAAATCCACTGCGTTCCTCCAGCATTAGTGCAATGCAGGACTGCCTTCCCACCTCCTTTCCTAATGAAGACACCACGTACTTTGAGAGGCCTTTCTAATCCATTTATCTCCTTTTGGAACCTGCAAGCCTCTACAGCAAGAATATCCATCACTTAAAGCAGTTATGCCCCTGTTGTCATGTTTAGCCCAGTCACAGACCTCAGACCCTGAGAATTTAGGCTGCCATGCCAGCCCTCACCTACCTTCTGCCAGCAAGGGCATGGATGCTGATGGAATCTCCCCCACCTTCCCTATCTGAGCGCGCTGGGCACCAGGTCCACCAGGAGGCGGTGGCAATGACGACTCTGATGCTCCCCCAGACTTGAAGGGGTTCACCTTGGGTTTAGGGGCAACCACGGGTGCAAATTTCTTCTGCGGGTTGTAGAAGGAGGGGGTAGAAATGTTGATGCTGACTGTGGAAGTCATGCGGGTCCCTGGGGCACCTGGGGAGGCCATCTTCTCAGCACCTGGCAGGAGACAAGAGGGAGGAAACCTACATGAAGTCATCCTTGAGCCAGAGTGGAAATTAACAGAGAAGAATATGTGAAACAGAGGGACATGGGAATTAAAGTCAGGCCAGAGGGTGAGGTGCCTAAGCAGAGGAAAAAGGAGGAACAGAAACTGCAGACAGCTCGAATGAGCCATCATACTTCACCACTTCAGCTCAGGATGGCATTAACCACAAAGGGGTTCTTGACACAGAGAAACACAGATCTCTGCTGCACCAGAGCCCCATACACCGCAGGGGACCATGGTGACCAAGAGAGTGATCCCCCGCACGCCAAGGGGTGCCACCAGAACTGGAGTCAGCATTTCCTCTTCCCCTTTACCCCATAACGCCAGACAGCTCCCCTCGACCTCAGCCTGTGACAGCCCCAGCAACGCCCCCCTAGTCCCCACCCCAAGCCCCAGCATCTCCCACCCTTTACCTCCAGGCCCCTCCATGCCGGCGGAGCCAGAACAACGGGGCGGGTGAGGCTCTCCCCGGTGTCACACCCCCGGGCAGAGCCCCCGCTGTCCCTGCTCCCTGCCCACGGCCGAGCCGGCCGCGGCTCCGCCGCCCGCTCCGCCCCCGCCAGGAAGAGCTCCCCGGATGCCGCCTCGCCGCCACCGCCCCCCGCCCGCCCCTTTGGGCTGCCGGGGGCGCGGACAGCACCCCGCAGCCGGGGGTCCCCTCGGCCAGGCCTCCTGGGGGTCTGCGAAACTGTCCCTCTCGCTCGGCTCGAGCAGCCAGAGGATACCCTCACATAGCCGGATGCTGGGGGAAAACGCAGGTCTCCTGAGGAGAGGCGCATCTCCAGGATTCCCCCAGGCCAACAACCTCACTCGTGCGAGAAGCCTCCATGGAGCCAGACGCTTTGTTGTAAAGCCTGGCATGCCTATAGCCCTCCTAACACCCTAGCACAATAGGGCTGCCGTCAGCACAGGGGCTCCGTGCCAGCATTTCGCGTTGGCATGTCCAAATCAGTGCCCCTCCACACTGCCGGCTTCTCTCACGGACAATAACAGCTGCTGGGACAGACAGCCCTGGTGCCACAAACATCCGCCCACCGCCGATTAGCCCCTGGCTGCTGATAAGACCTTCGTGGCCCATTCCAAGCGCTCCCACGACTCAGTGCAGTGTGGCACGATATAGTAACCTGTCACGAGCATGTGGCAACACAAACACAAGGTCCATGCTGCTGCACTTTTCCTTTTTTTGGTGAAGGGCTGATGAGTTGCATATGCTTGGACAAACTCTTCTAGGCTTTTCAAAGGGAGAAAGAGGATGAAACAGTAAGCACTAGCCAAAAAGCTGTGCTGAGCATCTCCCACTTGATCCAGCATGAGGAAAGGGCCAAGTCTGAAGAGTAATTAGCAAGGTCTGTCCTCAACGCCTCAAACTTGTAGGAGCCAACAGACTTGCAAGTCAGAAGGGACTGATCAACTCTCTCCATTCTAGAGCTTCTAGCCAAGCTACATAAGCTATTAAAAAGACCTCCAGCTTTTCTTTAGAGACTTATACCTCCTACTCCACTATTTCATTATGGTGCAGTGAGCCACATGGTAGAACAGTAGTCCTACCAGATTTGACCTCATTATGAGCAGAACACTACAGTGACAATGTCACTTCTAACCATGATCCATACTGGAGTTAGTCAACATACAGTCTTGGGACACTGGCCGCTTCACAAAAATCCACTGGCTTTGCTACCCGCAGCTGCTATCTCCCTTAACCCAAAGCAGCCCATTTCCCGATATGCCATGTTGCACTTAAGGCCCTTTTCTACTCAGGGCTGTCTCCATCCAGCAGCTGCCCCTGCTCATCCTTATTTCTGTTTATCAGTCCACCCCCACACAGACCAAACCAGCCGAGAAAGGCTGGCCTTGCAGAGTCACCCCCCCAACCCTGGGGCGCTGCCAATGCCATCTAAGCCTTTGCAGAAACACACAGCTCATGCAAGTCCTGTGGCGCAGTTTGTGAAAGCTATGGGAGAAGGGAACGTGATGCCAAAAGACCTAATCTCAAATCCTTCTCATTCTTACATTTTCCCCAAGGGAAGAGATTTTTCTACCTCCTGTAACAGCATTTAAGATGACTCAATTGGAGCTACAAAGAAAGATGCCCCCAAAGGACACAGTCTGGATACCTAGTTGCCTCATACACTGTTTCTCTCTGACAGCAAGGAAAAACAGCAGGACAAAACCAAATGACACTTCCCAGAAGGTCCCACGATGAGTCTGCCACTTCTTATGCACCCAAACAGCTTTCAGTTCTCTGATCCCACGATACCACTTTCAAAAGCTCTGCTCCTTTCCTGGGGTCGTGAAAGCAGAAGGAACCTAAGGAAGCAGAGACCTTAAAGCCATTTTTCACCTCTGTTGGTAAAAGCAGTTTGGCTTCAGCCACAGTGGGAGCCCCTGTAAAAGCCAGCCCAGCACCGTGGTTCCATACACTGCACCTATACTTCCCCTATTTCCCAACTTCCTCCCAACTGAAGGGGGTCAGAAGGAGAACTACAGGGGGAAAAACAAACAAACAAACAAACAAACAAAAAACCAAAAACCCCAACAACAACAACGAGTATTAAGAACGGATTCAATGGATTTAGGAGTTATGCTTATTTTCATCCAGAAAGTTCTCCCAGCCTGCTCCAAAGTTACAAAGCTTCAAAGAGAGCAAAGTCAGTCAGCTATGCGAGCTGCAAGGTAGAGCCTTAAAGCAACCGGGCTGGGGGAGGGGGATATTCAGAGTTACAAAGTTCGCTCACAGATGCTGGGCTTGCCTCCTCCCTCTGCAAGGGAGGAAAGAAGAAAGGAAAAACTCCCCAAAGCTATGCAAACATATTTAAAACGTTAGGAAGTTCTACGACTTTGCAAGCACTTGAGTCTTCGCTTTCTCAGGGCACTCCCAGAGAGAGAGAAAATCATAAATTAAGTGAATATCATGCACAAAGCGCCCCAGATTCCTCTCTCAAACACATCTGGAAAAAGGCTCCCGAGGTGTCTCGCTCATCCATGCGCACACAAAAGAGAGCTTGTCCCGAGTAAAGCCCGGCAGCACCCCCTCCCTCTCCCCTGCTCCTGGGGCTGTGCAGGAGCCCTGAGCCGCCTCCATTGCACCGGGAGAGAAGAAAACTCACCCCACAAACGCGAACCTCCCTTCTGCGGAGGGGCAAACGCCCTCACGAGTCACCACCGTAAATCAGCCCCACCGAGAGCGAAGCGCTCTGTCCGAGGCTTGCGAGCCGCGAGGGCGGGAGCGGCAGAAAACCCGCACACCCCTCCACACCCCGCGCCAGTCCCAGGGCGAAGAACAAAAGCTTTGTCGCTAAGCCGAGCGAAGAGACTCACCTCTGGGGGAGCGGGAAATGCCACCCCCGGGGCTGGGGCTGCCGGGGCTGGGGCCGGGCTCCTCCGCCGCCCCGGCCCGCCCGCCAGGAGAGGCAGCAGCGCCGAGAGGCGGGGGAAAGGCTGAGCCCCGGCGCTTCCTCTCAACTCGCGAAAAAAGCCTCGCCCAGGCAAAGTTGTTTGACCATAAAAGGCGCGAGGCTGCGCGCACAGCTGAGCTCACTCGCTGGGGAATGTGGCAATGAGGTAACGGGGGGACGGGGCTTGCTGGGGCAGTGGCCCCGGGCTGTGCCGGCTGGGGAGGGGGATGTTCTCTGCCTGCCTGCGGACGCGACCGAGACGTGTCTGTCGGGGTTTCCCACTGGTATTCTCGGCACAGACCCTGGGCTGGGCTCGCTGACTGCCCCCCGCAGAGAGCCCTGCTCCTCCCGCCTTCCCTAACCTTGGAGCTGCCCCCAGCCCGTGATTTCACTTCCAGTCGCTGAGCTGGATTTTCGGAAGAAATGCGGCGGCTCTGGTGAGTCAGGGTCCCTGCTGGCCTCTCCCTCGCCGGAGCCAGCTGTGAGAGCATCTGACTCACGCTCCCCCATTCTGCCAGAAATTAAAGCAAACATCAGATGACTCCACCGTTCAGAAAAGCGACTTGTTCTCCTTGCACTGGCTGCAAGGCAAACGCTATAAGCTGGTTTATATCAAATAGTATCCACAGGAATTGCTTTGTTGGATTGCCTGTGCTGCACATCGGTTTTATTTTTATCCCAGTGCTGGCTGTGGTTCCAGCCCTGCTCTAGAACGGGGACAACTTGACCCAGCACAACAGAACATGAAATTTTCAAACCCAGCCTTTGCTGTTTCTTGCTTCAAAGCCTCTCAGGAAGGAGGAGCACCTATAAAGACAGAATTCCTGTGCTTTGTGCAATCACTGTACTTGGACTTCGGAATTTGGTCTTAATATCAGGGTTAATAGCCCTACTGTTGCAAATGCCCTGGAGAATTACTGTATTTGGTAATGCTCAAGGGATTTGGGGTTTGTCTGCTCCTAAGACTTACCTATCAACACAGGCATCTTTCAGTACTGGTAACTTGCAGGTGGGTGAGTAAGCCACAAACCCCATCAGTGAGACTCCCAGCCTGCACTACTGCAAAATGCTCACATTGGAGACCTAGGCAAAGAGATTCATCCAAGGCTTAAGTCCAAATCTTTAATTTTACACATAAGGCTTGTACAAAGAGGTTATATCTTTTTATTTAACAGATGATACAGCTGGAAAAATTTGGCTCCCTAAGGGTTTTCAGTGTTACATACCATATGAAAATGCCACCCATAACAATGTGTAGCACTGAGGCACTCCTCACTCCTCTCTCTCCTCACATAGCTGCAATACATAGCTGTGAACTTCTTAGGCATATATAGCTCTTCTGTGGGTTCTAAATAATCCTGAAGTTACTGCTGCTTTTGTAGGCATGGCATCAGCTCTGTTACCTCCCATGATTAATGCACAAAGTAATTATATAGGATAAGGAAGGTATCTTTGTGAGGGGTCTTCTAACACTGTCACTTTTCTAGTGCAGTGAGTCTTTTTCCCTCTCATTCAGGTAAAGATGTCAGTGCAGAGCTAAAAAGATTTCATTGCAGAATTGCTAACCAAATTCTGGAACATCACAGCACCCTTTACACAATCAGCCTGACGTCAGAGAACTCTGCTGCTGTTCCCTGGGCTAGCCTTGACTCTAGAGGAAACAAAGAACATCTCAGACTGAGATTAAAAAAGTGCTGAGTGAATATGAAAAAAAGATCTGTGCTCTCGTATTTTTTGGTTACATCCCCATAAAACCAGATGCTTGCATGTTTGATTATCTCACCCATGTGGTGATGTTAAAAGTTCATGAAGGCAGATAAAGCGAAGTGAGAATAAGAAAAGCAGATCCTCTTAGGCATTTTGTATTAATTCCTCACTATGAAGAAACACATACGAAACAGATGTGTTTTGCAGGTTGCACATGTGAAAGGTAGACTTCTCAAATCAGAATATATCAGAATACACAGGGTGAAGATAATCTGATTTCATGCTTGCCATATAGTGGACTTAAAGTTTGTGCTTTTGTAATCAGAAATGAAGATGACTTTCCTATGTTAGTTCTGATTCCTCCGGAAAGAGAATTAGAATCTCCTTATGTTAGCAACCTTCCTTCATGAAATTATTTGCTTGAAAGACTAGACATTTTTCTGCTGCAAATGAAAATTAGAGCCCTAAGATGTACACAGTTGTAGTCACTCTCATTAGTTGAGGCAAAATATTAGTCCTGAAGAGGCATTTAGCTGTCTGGATACAGTGATGGATTAGCAGGTATACTTAGCTTGTGCCAGACCTTGTTATTTCTGGAATTAGCAGCAGTCCTCTGCATAAATCACTTTGTCTGTCCCATACCATGACTAAAAGCGATCTAATATTTTGGATTATATTGTGGTGTGAATGTTACTATACACAGTGGGTGAAGTGACAGCCCACTACAAAGCAGGTGTTGCAGGCATTTAGAAGATGAAGTTCTAGCTGGGTGCTTCTTTGAGGCAAGTGACAGGATGCAAGCCCCAGTACTGGCCATCAAATCAAAGCTTAGAAATGCTTAGAGTTCAAGGCACTCACCTCAGAGAGACTAAGTTTTAATGGAGACAGTTATAAAGAAACTTCACTGGTAATTCAGTCATGTAATGCAAAGAGTAAATAAAGAATAATGCCACACAGAAATGTTGTGGCAAATTCATATACTTCAATGGGATGAGGAGTATGCTAGCAGTGGTGAGGTGCCTATAAAATGAAAATAAAAATAGATGTAAGAGAAGAAAAAATAAGTCTTTGAATGCAAAAGGAAGGATTATATGCCACAACACTATCAGGGAACTAAACTTGTTGGGCAGAAGATCTGTTCTGATAGCCAGGTAGGGTTCAGGTAGCTGCAGATGGGATTCTTTGTGTTAAAAATATGTTTAATGTCAGAAGAAAGCAATCTGGAATGTGCTGGACAGGGTGCTTTAGTTATTAATAATGCAAAATGTCTGCATCTGTATAATTTCTATTCGTATCAACAGATCAGTTAGTGCCATTTTTTCTCAGCGTGAGTTAGTTAACAATTAGTGATGCTACACAGGAGTCCATGTTTTTCCTAAGCAGAGAAAAGTTCTGACTTATATCTGTGTTGAATCTCTGATGCTTTAGTCATATAACTTCTGTTTAGTCTAACTACATTTTATTGATTATTGTTAAGTTACCACTTAATAAGCTTTCCCCATGCTGTATTAAATGCTATGTCTGGGCCTACTGGAAGAGTTAGGAACATGTAATGGATCTGCTTTGGACCCCAGGCCAAGAGGTACAGATGAGGTTAGGCCTGCACTGTCCAGGGCAGGACCACTTGCAGCAAATTGCCTTCATCCATATGGACCAACAGGAGTTTCAGAGGGACTCAGTGAACTTGGAGTTCTTTTCCAACCTGAACAATCCCGTTATTCTATGTAATGCACCTTGGTAAGAGGACTCCTAAGATCTGCTGTGCTCCCAGAGCACAGCCCTCTCCTGGCATGGTCCTTGCTCCTGCCCTCAAGTGCTTTCTCCATGTGAAAGACTACATCTGGCATAGATTGTCACCTGCCATGGCTGCTGCTCACACCTTCGTGGAGGCCGTGACGTGTGCAGAGCTATCTTTCTCCTGACCAAACAGCAGTTTCAAGTTGGAGTGCCTTAGTCCCCTTGCGGGATGCGTGTCGACAGCTGTGTGCCAAACAGAGAGCTGTGCTGGGGACAGCAGAGCCTTAAGAGACAGCAGTCCTTATGAGCCTAGTCATCTTCCTGCATCTGTGAAACTGGCACACTGTCAGGAATGCTATTTGCAAAGGTCATGAATTGTGAAGTCCCTGAATGACCAGCTACCCAGGACATATATCTAGTGTGTCCCTGCTGCTTCTCTTCAAAGCACACATCAGAAGTGTCCCTCCCCAAGAAGAGAAGCTGTTTAGTAGTTACAGAGAGCCTCTGTGATCTCTGTAGGTCCTCAAATCCCACTGTGAAGGTATTGCATGGTACACATGCGCATATGTATGTACTTCAAAAGGCATTCCTCCCATACACATACAATTAGATTACCCTGACTAAAACACTAGAATAGGCCAAAAGCTGTAAACAGAAAAAAATCCAAACCCTTGCTGTGCCATGGAATGCTTTTTCAATGTGGCAAATCAGACACATAAAAGTAGGAGGGAGCAGAGGATCTCTGTGGTATGACCTTGGTCATGCCAGGACATGACTGGCCATCAGAGCAGCCAGGCAGCCAGGAGAACAAGGGACTGGGTGGTGTCTGTCCAGGGAAGAAGCTCAATTTCCAGCAAGGCTGGCAGGTCTTTCCTAGACAGAGCCATAGCAGGGGCTCCTGAGCAGGAGATGCAGCTCCCAGATGAATCACCACTGCTGTTTCCTTATCTCCTTCCACCAAAATTTCCTGCTGAGCTGCTGCCTCTATCTGCTTCTCAGCATGGCAGCAGGCCTGCAATTCCATGGCTCCTGGGGCTTGCTCACTGACAGGCTTCCCCTCACATAGTGCTCCCACACCTACTGCTCACTGCTGCTGGGCTCTGTGCCCGAGGAATGAGGGATGCAAGCAGGCTATCCCAGAGGATATCTCTTCCCTCAGGTGCTGTACGACCTGTTCTGCAACTCTGGAAAACTAAGAGATGGCTCCTGGGGCATGCCCATGTGTGTGGTTGAGTATGGATGGCCGCCAGAGCCCATTCTACTCGGAAAGCTGCCATTTCCACATTCCAAGGCACCCTTACCATTTCCTCAACTGTATGCCCCACCCATTGCCACCAGCAAGACAAGCGGCGACATATTTGGCTGTTCTGTGGCAAATATTACTGCTTGTCAGAACTGACTGTCAAAGAAACACATCTGTCAGTCTGCTAATTTAAGAGTTCCTGTGTGTGGTGCAAGCCTCTTTCCACCCGAGTGTCATGCTCTCATGCAGAAGTCTCCTTTCTTCACTCCATTACATAGTGTAGTCTTGTAAGCATGGCACAACAAGCCATGTCCCTTCCTACAAATGAGTGTAATCAATACACACAGGTACTCCTGGGTGCTCACTGTGTTGCATCCTGGGGGATTTTGAAAAAAAAGTCCCAGAAATAATTCCAGTATGTATATGTGTCGTGGGGAGGGTGTCACGTCTTGGAAAAAGGGTTCTTTCCCTGCATCCTCCCTGTGACAAAGCTGAGAGGCAAAAGCACGTTCTCAACTCTCTTGATATCATACCGAGCCTCCTCCTATGTCATACAGTAGAAGTTGTGTAGTGGCTTCTCAGGGAAGCATCTGGTGCAGCTGCTTGGTACTGGAGGGACAGAGATGCCGAGCTACAGTCTCCGTAACATTAACCTGGGACAGGGTCCTAATCAGTCCAGTCCAACATGGCCCCTTTCTATCCCAGTGCTGTTAATTTCCTTCATAAGAACTGGGGTAGCCAGATAAGTAGAGACAGGTTTGGAGAGTTCTAATTCTGTGTCGTGCACTGTGCCTACCAAGAGGTGCCATGCATGTGTCAGAGCATGCTGGACCTGTGAGTACGTTAGGCACGCACAAGCAGATTGCTCTGGTCAGGATGAATGAAGCCTGGTATAGTCCACACCTGCATTATCTATAGGGTGTGGATCCTGAAGCAAACTACCCTCTCAGAAAACCAAATAATTGGTTAACTCCAGATTAGAGTCCTGGCAAAACCTAGTATGTACACAGTATAGATGATCACGGAACCAAGGCCTGGAGCAAAGCAACAAACCAACCAAATAGACAATACAGGCATATGGTCCAACAGTCTGCTTGCAAAAAAAAAAAAAAAAAAAAAAAAAAGAAAAAGAAGAAAAAAACCCCAGGCCAAATGTTATCCACAAGCTGCACAGTAAAACCCCATTTGAGTACAGCTTTCCTTGCTTTCCAAAAGCAAAAGGTGTGGGGCTATATGAAGTTTCATGCAGTTCCCAGGTTTACTACATGTGGCTACTAGTACCTCTGCTAGTTAATTTACTGACAGTAAGAATAAAAGGATAACTATAGATGAGACAAAAATCTTTGACTGTTTCATGGGGTTGTCAGGATAATTAGCAGGGACTTGCAGTGGAGCCACTGCCTTTTCAGTGGCAGCTAGGAGTCTGTGACAACTTACAGGAGAGAGCTGGTTTTCAAGCAGAGTATAATTTTCAGTAGGTTGAAAATATAAGGGTGTGACAGGCCTTACTGAGGATCTGTGCTAAGTTCATTCTGTATGCAGCAAAGTGATCAGGCACTGACTGTTTGGGATAGGGTAGTAGCAGTTATAGGCCATCATTGCTAGGTTTTCTAGTCTAAGTGACACTGAGAGATCAGTAGCCACAGTTATGGTTCAAAATGCAGGAGAGGTCCTCAAAGTGTTCCATTTTTTTATTACCAGGTCATTGACTATTTGCACATTGGGTTCTCCAGAGGTGTGCTGGCATGGCAGAGACATAGCCTAAATTCTGGAAGAGTTGACTCTCACCACTTTTTACCGTCTGTCCCTGCCTGTCAGTCACAGATGCCTGGGCAAAGGCTCAAGACATACCATTATCTTAGAGGTCTTTTCCAACCATAATGATTCTATGATTCTGTGATTAAAAAACTCAGCTGTGGAAGTACATTTCTGGAGATGCATTTCCAAGGCATTCTTCAGCTGTCTTGATGAAGGTCAATATGACGACCATGTCTCCGAGGTACTTGGCAAACCTCCTGCCCATTTGCTTCCACAGCTTATGAAAGAAGTAATTTGGAACCTTTAACCTTATCCAAAGCATTCAGTTTCCATATAAACCACTTTAGATATGTATTTGGCCAGTTGCAATCTGCCTGAAGGTCATCTGTGTTCAGGCTTCATATGCAAATATACTTCTTCCCTGGGGTTCTTGAGTCCCAGGTAATGCCTGTGACAGTGCTGGCTAAAAGTTGGGAGCAGCAGGTAGCGAAAGATGTTTGGAAACTAAGCCAGCAGAATCTCATCAGGTTGCTAATGAAAATAGGCTCAGGTTATGAGGAAAGCCCTATCAAACCATTTTCTGCAGAGTGACTGATGGTTTCAGAGACAGTGTTAGTTGCCAAAAGAAATTAATGGGATATTTACAAAGCTATTTCTCCAGATTAGTGTTGCTTTTCTTGGGCCTCCCACCAACAGCTTTCTTCCCAACGCCTTGGAACATAGTGTTCAATGCCATGAAAAGGATTGCTGGGTCTTACCAGCAATAATCCTTTTGTTTCCTGTTTATTTGGCCTTTATGGACATGCTTTCCAAAACTGTATCATCCCAAGGTGGTCATTAAGCTTCTATTTTAAAAATATAAACCAAAAATGAGATCTGATAAAAAAGGAAGGCTATATTTGTTTGAAAACGTTTTTGGAGTAAACAAGAAAATAATGTGGATTAGTGTAAGGGCTTGGCAGATTTGAAACATTGCAAGAGCCACACATTACATCCAATCAATGTAGAGGCAAGCAGTGCAACCTCCGATGTAATAACATGACAGGGAGGGAGCCGCCTCAGTTCCAGTTGTCCACTTGCTTTGGGACACACTGGACAGCCTGTATTTCTCCAATGCAGTAAAATGGCTCCTATTTTGTCCTGATCCAAGAAAGAGGAAATCTGCATAGAGGTCCACATTTAAATGTACCTATGGGATAATATCTGTATCCATTCCCTCATAGGTTTCAAAGGGAGGCATTCCACAGGGGCTAGACTACATACTGCAATGAGTTTTCTTGAGGAATGGGACAAGTAAAGGGTAGAGGGTACAGTTCACCTGTGAAGAGTATGGATGAAGGTCTGGTCTGGTTGATGCTGTTCACTGTCTCTAACTCCTCAGATGGTATCACTGCAGACAGATATCAGCCCTTTGGTGCCAAAAACCTAAATTCAACATAATGACCTTCGCTTGCGGTCAAGATTAGAGGGACACTAAATTGTAGACTATTTTTACTCTTTAATGTTGCATATTCTCAGACCCCTGGCTTGGTTTTGAGGCTGGAATGACTCCCTCATTAGACTCATTTTGTCTTTCAGCTTACATTGATGAGAAACCTACAGTATGCTGCATCCTGCTTTGCTGTCTTACCAGATTATACCAGAGTCCTGGAGTTTCCATGTGTTTGCTTTTGACTCAAAAATTGTTATTCTTGAAATCCCTGCACCTCCAAGCAAGGAATGGAATTTCAAGTTACATGGTGCCTGAAGAATTCCACTCTCCTAAACATAGCAATTATTTATTTGACTTGAGGGACCACGAGACCAGAACTCTCCTCATCTACAATAACTTCAACTCTTTCTCCCAGCAGACAGTAAACTGAGAAAGAAATAGTAAATATGAAGGTATGATAAATGTTCTCTCACCTATTGCAGATTAAAAACAATTTTGGGGAGGTAGAACAAAAGAGCAGCCTTCTGTGAGAGGAGATAAAAGCTAACAGCCTTTGCCTTCGCCCAGTATTGATACATAGTATCTCCACAGACTGGGTGGTGCAACAACAAGTAGTATTATTCCAAGAGTTACCTCGTGAATTGCACTGGTGGATTTCTTTCAAGGATCAGCTATGGCCCCAATGGGTTTGAGGTTAGAATGCTCTTCTTTGCTGGGCTGCCTCTTAGTCAGAAGGTACCATCAGGATGTCAAGTGTTGCAAGACAGTAAGAAGAAAAGGCAGCAAGACAGACTCTTCTGAGATCCTGTTCCTCAAATTTCAGTCGAGAACACAGAAAGAAACAAGGTCCAAATGTTCTTATTAAGGTGGTTGTCAGCAGGGAAAGACATTAGACCTCAGAAGACTTTGAAACAGATGGGAATGGAAAGGTCACCTCCAAATAAGCACAGAGGGAAACATTTTGGAACCCACCATATTCCTTATGGACTGCAGCACAGTAGAGCAGAGCAGGTAGATGTATTCACATCTTCCAGAAACAGCAGCAAGCCTGACTTGATTCCAAAAATAGTTTGAGTCAATGTTGATTTGCCAGAGCCTACTCACAACAGCTGTGTTCTCTGTGTTACAGAGCAATTTCTGGAGATTTTTTAAAATGTGAGGGCCATTCTGTCAGTGCATGAGTGAACAGTTTAAGTTGATATTTTGCTTCAGGATACATTATACTGTCACTATTCCAGACTTAAGAATTCAGCAACGAGGACAGAATGACTAGCTTTTAAAATAAGAAGTACTTTCTTTGTTCAGACTTGCTTTTAAGGTTTAGGGTATTTTTGTATCTTTTTATTAAGATCTGTAAAACTCCAGAAGCACATTGCAGGAAAAAAACCAAATAAACAATGTATTTTTAAAACTGTGAGTATCCACAGTTTCTCTGAGCTTCTAGTCCCCCATCTCCAATATATCAAAGGGAGAGAGTGAGGAGACGACAACTGATATTTTGTAAGGCTAAAAATATTGTGTCTTTTTACATAACACTGAGAATTTAAAAAGCACATTAACTGCTTGCAGATTATTTTTAAAAATGCAGCTTGAGCAACACCACTAGTATAGATTCAACTGACATTTAGCAGAAGTAGCTGCTGTATATTTCACTGTTGGGAAATGAGACATTCAGTAGAGAATTAAGTAAATGTTTTTAAAAAGCCAAAATAAGACTCAGACTCCATCAAAGATACCTGCACACTAACATACACCTCACATTTATGTCATGGGTGATGTCTGTTTCTCTAATGCATATCAAGTAGCCTTTTTGACCCTCCCTTTTTGACACCTCCTCAGACCTTCCCTCTTGGCACTACCTACCTCATGGTGAGGAACCTTGACACTCTCAGTGTGACTGCCAGAGGTTCAACAAATTCCTTTTTTTTACACTCCTGGAATTTCCTTTCTTTTTTCCTCCTCATTTGTTAGCATCTGCTGAGCCCTTCCTGGCAGGGAGGGAGTGGGAAGGAGTGCCTTATCTGAAGTTACTTATCTTCCCATTTCACTTGCTGCTGGAAAAGCCCCAGGCCATGGCAGAAGAAACTGGAATTTGAGAGCATGGCCCAGAATACCTTCAGTCTCATTCTGTGTGTAGCAGGCATTTAACCGGTTTAGACACAAGGTAAGGACATATGAGGATGCAGAATAGATTTATGAAAGACATTTGCCAGAATGGTGTTGCTGAGTGGGTGAAGTTTGTGACAGATGAAGCAGACTTGTTAATTCTTTGATACTGAGCTGCAGTTCCAGAGAGCAATGGTTCTCCATGCTCAAATGGAAGATGATGCATGATCACATGCAGTAGGTCAGTGTGCTATAAAGGCATCAGAGAAATGCTAACAGAGCAAGCTGCACCACCACAGTTCCAGATGGCAAATTCCTTTTCTATGTCTTCTTTAAAGTTCTGAAATGGGAACTGTATGAAAATGAGATCTTAATATACATAGAACAGAGCGTGACACTTCTGCATGACTCTGGATAAAAATCAAAACATGGATGAAGATGATGAGAGAATATTACACTTGCTAAAAACCTGCAAAACAGCAATGTTCGGAAAAACTCTGAAGCTACAAATTCCTAAGAAAAACTAATGGAAGGCAAGTATCAAGATAAGTGAGAAAAGAATGGCAAACACTGAGTATTGAACATTTATTTGTGTATCAATATGTCAAACCCATGTGTTATACAGAGAGCTGATCACATTTTATTAAAACACCACCAAATTAAGCAAGGTCACATAACAGTTATCTTGTAGCAAAGCATGCATGTGAGTCCTGTCTATTGTTAGATTACAGCTAGCCCACTGCCTGCCTGTGCTGTATGTGTTGGGATGACATACCTCGCCACTGCAGAAATTCTTAAAATTTGTTTCAGAAATACATTTTTAAAGAATCTCGACTTGCATTGAAATGAGTGTGTTTTTAAGGTATCTGGCTAACATTAAAGTATTGAATTCCTCTGAGTAAGACTGTCCTTAATTTGGGACACTCCGTCAATGTTCAGTTTCCAGTAGATCATGCCAGGATATACAAAGCATGTGTTTCTGCTTTGGCAGCACAGGCCAATTTGAGAACTCACCATGCAGGGGGAGAGGAAAATAATGTTTTGGCACTCACTATTACCTCTCTTCAGCAATACGGGACAAAATACCCGGGAGGATTTTTTAATAAATATACTATTGAGGTATTGATTATTTGTATTGATTAGTTCTGTCTCAGTACTGAACTAATACGCTCTCCAAGAAGTTTTTCATGAGCTGTGGGTGCAGGTGGAGTAAGATCGTGTTTGCTCAGATGTGAGTGTAGGTAAGCATGAGCTTATATCACAATGTGCAATGCAAACATATCCTACCTCTCTCCATCTGTTGTCCCTTCTAATCTTTAGTTGATTCACACAGCCTCAAATATTTTCCCAGTTGAAAGGACCCAGCCTTTCACTTATGTCAGATAAGTTGCACCACTTTCAGGATCTGAACTACATTGACACTGCTTTTTTTCATTCTTTAAACCTCATAAAAAGCCTTTCTGTTTGTCTCCTGCACCAAAGGAGCTCTGAACAACTGTATGACTCATTTTGCTATCTCATTTCCTTTTTGGTCCACATGAAAATCCTATCAGTAGCTAATACAGCTTGATGTAGAATTAACTCTTATGGCATCTATCCATTACTTCTATGAAGCAATTACTGAGATCCCTGCCAGAAGTAGCTTTTGCTGGGGAATCCAAACTGCCAGTGGAAGGAGGCCAGAAGAGAAGCATATTGGAGCTACAGTCCCTGGAGGATGACTTCTGCCTCTATAGATCTGAGACAGATACTATTTTTGTAAACATCTCCTACTTGTGAACTTCATAGGCCTCTGTATATTTTCCACAGCTGAAGACACATCTTGCAAGAAGCATGTAGGAAGTTTCTGCATGTCTTTCTGGGATAGTAGTTGGTCACACGATATTACATAAGGATTTTTAAAAGCATCAGAGAAGGAGAAGAAGGTGAACATTCATTTTTCAGAGCTTTTTCATGGGAAGATAGACATGGTTTCCAATGACACCACTGGGAACAGGAGTAGACAGAAGGCAGATGTATTTGGTGGTTGGTGATGTTTACTTGGAAGTGGAACATTAGATGGCAAGATTTATACTGGTATTTTTTTCATTTTAACTGGTTTAAGTGGTACCTTAGGGAGATAACAGGGGCACATTACCTACTGTGATATAATCTGCATCCCTGATAATTAATTGATGAAAAGAATAAATTTACTCAGCAGGTATGACAGTGACAATAGCCCTGTATTTTATAAGCAGTGTTTCTTAGGAAGATGCTGTTCCGGTATTTATAATTTATAAGATCTGTATATTTATATAGAGATATAGGGAACATTTGGTAAAATAGGTTTAATGTATTCATCAATGGCTTATAGAAAAGATAAACACTGCTGAACAGCTGTCTCTTAAAACACAAACAAGAAGTTAACAATTTACAGCATAAGCCAGTCTCCAGGTTTATGATAGAGGCCTCAGAGTGGGTTTAGAACAAGTTGTTAAAAAGTATACTTGATGTAAACCTGCCTTACTCTCTGCTGTTACCAGCCCCTCTACCAGGCACAAGATCACTATCTTTAGCTTTGCTGGAATTATGTTTTCCTCCCCACTCATTCCTGCTCAGACTTACAGTGACCACTCTGTCTGAATGCTGGGGGTGGGTGGTAAGAGACCATTGGAGGCATGGGTGCTCGTCTGTTCCCAACTTACCTTAGCATTCAACCCCAGAAATAGCTGGTCCTTGCCTAGGAGCACGTGCTTATTGAGTTGATTATGGCATCTCAGTTTCTCTGTTGCATTCAGGAAAAAGGTGCTGGAATGGAGGAAGGAAAAGGTCAAAGGAGCTTTATATTGCACTTCCTCCAGCAGCATCCTTGACCTAGTTTGGGCAGCACTGAAGCTCTGCAAACGCAAGTTCCTAATGATCGTGACCCACAGCCCCACAACAGGTCAAACCTCCCTTCTCTTTTGCCCAGCATGCCTCTCACAACAGGGGCTGTGGAAGGGGAGGTCTACAGCTCAACAGTAAACAGAGTGGCACATAGTTTCATCCATCATACAAATAATTTAGGAGGTTGCAAGTGGCTGTTTTCTACTGTTCCTTCCTGTGAGATACCCAGCTATGTTAAGGATCAAGTGTCTCTCTAGACACTTAAATATCTCTCTCTCCCAAACCTGTACAAAACCTTTTATTTACAAAGATCTTTCAGACCAGCATTTAAATCAGCACTTATCAAAGGTATTTTGTACACAATTTCCTACCTGAAATTATAGCCTCATTGTTTAAGAAAGTACCCATAATGCTTAGAGAAAATACTAAGTGCCTGTCAAAGTGTATTTCAAAGAAAATAAAACCATTTATTTTCTGTCATTTACCTCCAGTTCCTTGCAGAAGCAGTGGGAATACTGTTGCTCAGGAAAAACAAGGACAGAAACTGTGGGGAACAGTTAGATTTATGCTCTGTTTCAGTCTGTTGTTCAGAGATTCAGTCCTGTCACTTCCCTCCTAGGTGATAATACTCATGAAACCACATATTTCTTCAGAATGTAAAATATTTTCTTATGCTACTCTATGATAAACATATTTCAACTGATTTTAGAAACTTAGTAATAACTTTGTTAAAACCTAGAAACCGTTCACTGATGATGAGCTCCCTATTGCATAGAACCTACTGTACAAAAGAGCCAAGTAACTGGGTGAAAGCTGAGATGATAGTCTAACAAAGTCTTCTCAACTTCTAATAAGAATGAAATTTGCTTTAAATATGGAGATTTATGTAAACATGGTCCATAATAAATAAAGGTGTGACTAAGAACCAAAGGATGATGAAGAGTCTATCCTTTCATTAAACTGACTATATTAAAAATGGCAAAGTATGGCTGTAGGTGCCAAGACAGGTATTGCTTCCAGCAGCTAAGTGATATTGATTATATATTAAAAAAAGGAAGGAGCCTGAGGGACATGTGAGGCAGACACAAGACAGGCCAGTAGTTCTGTGGAGCGAATGAATGGACACTTGGGTATAATCCTCCTTCTCTTCAGTTCCTTTTTTCTGCTGTGCATGTCTGACACTTACTTTGCAGCAGTATGGGTGCTTGCCGGATCCCTATGTAAACTATCAGCTCACTAAAGCATCAGAAGACAAATCCATCAAGAACTGGAAAGCAGCTTTTCAGGCAGGGTAAGTGCTAGGACTTGCCCACCTGCCTGTAGAATCACAGCCTGAGGCAGAAGTCAGAGCAGATGTAAATGATATTGTAGCTTAATGAAAGGAAAGCCAAATGTGCACTTGCTAGGACCTGGGGTGTGACTTTGAGCTTGAGATAAAGTGATAGACTAGCTAAAGCATCACTCAGGGGGAATAAAATAAGAAGAGTCAATGTGACTTACCTGAAATCTTCATTTCAGAAGAGACCACTCACAGTGCAGAAAGCAGGTTCACTGAGGAACAGATTTAGATTGGGTGGGTGGGTGGGCGAGAGAGAGAGAAGGGGATTAAGATGAAACCAGACTCTCTCTGAACAGAGGAAAAGGGATTCCTCACAGCTGTGTCAGTAATACATCTTCTCAGGCCAGGATGAGATGCAAATGCTGTTTGGTGGAGTTTGGTGAAACTCTTAAGGACAGCTGTCCTGATCGATCTGTCCACAGGAGACTGCAAACACAACAGCTGGCTGGGCAGCCAAAAACATTTATCTTAAACAGGACTTGTGTCTTAATATACCACTCTTCCCACTGAAAGTTGCTTTTGTTTCCCCTTCCCTTGCATTTAGCCTTCAAAGTCAATAAAGATCTGCTTTTTAGAGGTGGTGAAACACCTCTGGTTAACATGAAGCTCTGATAGACCTATGGTTCCCTGGTATTTTTATAACCCGGGTTTCAAGTGTGCAGATACGTTGAGAAAAGTCTCTTTAGTGAGTCATTCAAAAAGACTAGATGAAAAGTGATAGGTTTGGAAATACATGGGGGAGGTAGGAGCGAAAAAGGAAAATTTTAGTCAAGGAAAAACTTCACCCTCAGCAGAAATCTAATGTGTTGTACCCAGTGATAAGCATTACAGCATCAGAGCAGACTGGCCTCAGGCACCCAGAGAGGAGAAGACTATGATCTCCTACACGTCAGCAGTATCATGTTCATCATACATAGTACTATCTTCGATACCATAAAGAAAGGAAAAGATGCAACAGCTGCATATATTCAGACAGTGCTTTTTTTCCCCCTGCCTGCATAAATTTCCTTCCTATATAAATTTTAGTTTGTATGAGTAGACTTCCTGCCTATTGTTTCAGAGGGTCAGGCAAAATATGATATGCTTAAAGTCCTTTTTTTTTTCTTTATTTTTTTTTCCTTCTTTAGGCTGACTCTAAGTTGTGAATGGGAAAATGAATGGACTTACTTATTCCCTGGTACTGCTGTTAATGAGGGCTGTTCAGCTGTCTTGAGTGACTTCTCAGCAATGCTGACAAAACCTGAATTTTCCAGGCCCAAAGATAAGATCAAAATAGCTCATTTGGGATCAACGAAATTCAATTTGCCATTAACTAGAGATGAGTGGAAGGATGCTGACGAGATCAGAGAGGCTTTTGGGGTGAAGAATACACAAAGGACCAGGGAGAAATCCTGAGCATTTCAGAGAGCGGAGGTGGAATGAGCAGACTGAGAAGAGACCGTGGTGGTGGGGAAGTGGGCAAGGAGAACACTGCCTGTTGCTTGAGCCATCAGCTGAGGAAGAATTTGGGCTGTGAAGGGAGCTGACCTAAGCACACCTTCTCCATCTGCAGAGATCCCTCCTCACTGCCATGTTAGCGGGGAGGACGTGGAAAAGGCCTCAGCAATCATCCTCAGGGATGAGTTTCCTTCACCGACCTGCGGGGCCACGGGCAGAGAGAGGCCGGGCAGCGCCGCACGTCTGCGCCCCGCGGCCCCGAACCCCGCAGCACGGCCAGGGGCAGAAAGGGCGGGGAACACCGTCCTCCCGCCCGAGCTCGCTGCTGGGGCTGCTCCGCGGGCCGCCCGCCCCTCGGTGGCTCCCGCAGTCCCCGCGGGCAGGGCTGCGGCGCGGCCGCTTCCCGGGACCGCACCGGCACCGCACCGGACCGCGCCGGGCCGGCTGAGCCGGGCGGGAGCGCGCCGGGAGCGCCCCAGGGGGGCTGCCGGTAACTGAGCCGGGTCCGCAAGTGTAGTTACCGGGAAAACCGCGCCCGCCGCCGCCTGCCTCCATCCATACCTCCATCCTTTCTTCCATCTCTCCCTCTATCCCTCCATCCATCCCCCCTACACCCCTCGCTGCTGCTGCTGCTGTTACTGCTGTTGCTTCTCACGGGGACGGAGACAAACCCGCCCTTCTCCCCCTGTCCCCACCTGCTCTACTGTCGCCCCCCGCTCCCAGCCTGCGGCACCGCCCGCCGCTCACCTGTGCCCGCCCCTCCCCGCTCCGCTCCCCAGGCGGGCGGGAGGGGCCCCGCGCCGCTGCACCGCCCGCCCCCCGCCCCGTTCCATCGCCATCCCGAGCCGCCCGCACCTGTCCTGTCCCGTCCTGCCCACTCGCCCGCCCGCCGGGGGTCCCTCGCCTCGCCCCGCAGCCGGCTCGCCCCGCGCCCCCCGCGGGCAGGAGGGGCGGCCCGGCCGGCGCTGCTTCCCCTCCCCGGGCCGCGGAGGGCGGCAGCCAATCGGCGCGGCGCTGCCGGGCCGGAGCTGTTTACCCAATCTCAGCCCGCCCCCCGTCGGGGAGCCGGGAGCGCGGAGCCGGGAGCGGGAGGCGGGCGGGCGGCGGGGGCTCGGCGGCGGCACCGGCGACGACGCGGCCGCGGTCGGGGAGCCGCGCGGGGCGCGGAACAAAGCGCGGAGGCGCGGCGGGGGCAGATGACAGCCTGGCCCGCGGGCTCCCCGCCCGCCCGGCTCGCCCCGGCGGGGGCACCCCGCGCCCGTACCTGACCATGACCCCGCGCCGGTCCCCGCTGGGCCACCCCGGCATTTCCCGCTGAAAGGACTGGCTGCTTTCCGACCTCCACTGCTCCCTACCTTCTCCGCCTACTCGCTGCTGAGGCTGCCGCCTCTCCCCGGAGCCCCGCCGGAGTGATGGGCTGCATCGGATCCCGCACCGTGGGTAAGGCGTTGGCGGGGACGGCGCTAGAGGATGCTCGGGCAGCCGCGGACCCCGCCCGGGGACCGACACGACAGCCCCCGGCACCGTGGGTGGCGGGTCGCCCCTCGCAGCCCCCCTCCTGGATGCCCGTCCAGCGCCATTAGCTGCGTGAGACCCTTCCCCACCTCCCCCTGTGCCCGGTCTCCGGTGGCGTGGCGGAGCTCCGCGGAGCCCCGGCCGCTGGCCTAGGCGCTGGCAGCGCGGCGGCGAGACGTGCCCGGGGCCGGGGGGTCGTCTGCCCGTGTCACCCGTGACGGAAGGTCGCGGAACATGTGGGTCAGTGCGGCGCCTCCGGAGGAGGGGGTGGGAGCGGGGTGTGCCGTGCCGTACCTCCCGGAGCGGGATCGGGATCAGGCGGACGGCGGCTGCATCCTTTGCTCGGTAGCGGTTTATTGTTATCCGAGGATACATAACATTGCATGATCTGCACGTCTTCTTCTCTGCCCCTTCCCCCTACGTAGACTTCAATGGAGAACAGCAAACAAATCTGAATCCCATCCCTCTCGCAGAGCCATTGCGAGGGGACACAGGGAGAGGGATCGCATCCTTCTAGTGGGCCACGCACATTTTACAGCAGAGGATCCCAAGCCTTTAGGCTGGGTAACCCAGCTCTCCCCTCCTACACACATGCAGATACCAAGAGATCCCTTGATCCCTAAGCAGAGGTCTCTACAGGTAAAAACAGCATTCTGGGCACACTTTCTTCCCTGCGGGAAAATTTTTTTCTGTGCAAACCACAGGTACAGTCGTCAGTTATGGGGAGGTGTATCATTCAAGACACCAGAAGAATCTCTTGAGAGCAGAGTTCATTTGGTAGTACATGTCTCTCTACCAAGTCTGTTCACTAAGCACAGGGGCACAGTGACATTTGTGGGAAAAGGAGACCTCTAAGCACGACAGAGTTGCAGCATGTCCCCAGAATAAATCCGAGGGGCTGTCTCAAAGTCTGGTGCTGTGACACTTGTCTCAATGGGAAAGCCCTTTGTGAGCACTTACAGGGAATCTACTCCTGCAGCAGCAAACGTAAACTACAGAATCCAGTTTCTACGTTTGGAATTAATTTCCATATCTAACCTATGTCTCTTAGTGTTCTCAAATGTCCTCATGACATAAAGAAATCTCTGACATCTTCTGTAATGTCCACATGGCAATGGTCACTGCATTTTTCAAGCTCACCTGGATCTCTCTCTCTATAGCATATCAAAACACACATTGCCTCCACCTCCTGCGTTGCCCATATCCCTCACACATCCACACTGCCGAGGACATTATTATCCTGTTAGCTGGCAAATTGTCCATGTGCCTTTTATTGATGCATGTCTGAAGTAGCAGTATTAATTCTTGTTCTCTCTTCCCACACCTCAACACTCTTGAAATAAAGAAAAAAGCATGGATCTAGTAGCACCCACTCTCCACTCCAGAATATAGTTAAGCTGTCATACCTCACCACACAGGTATTTGTTCCTATGCATGCCAGTGTTTTTATGGTCTGTGACTTGAAATCTGCGTTACAAAAAAAAACCCGTTTGTATAATTGAGCTACTGCAAGTATCATTCTCATATGAGAATATAGTTATATAAATATTTATAAATGTTATACAGATATGTGGGCCTAGATGAAAACACAAAATAGTGTCTATGCATTAAAATGATGATGGGATAATGATAATTGCAGACTTTGTCTGCCAGTTGAGGTCCTTAAATACAGACCTTAATAGTATAGATATTGGACTCCCCGTATGATAGCGACTTTTTGTTGATGCAATATATGTTCATTCTAGGTGGTAATAGCACAGTGGACATTAGGGACCTATTTGTACAGTTAACTGAGGAATTGTTCTTGACCCAGTGTTACGAAGGTGTGTGCTGAGAGGGATTGCACAACTCTGATTCTAATCTCCGTGGCAGTCAAACAGGAATGTGGTAATAGTGCCTGATGCCTTTTTGTGTAAAACTTTTATGCTGCTTTGCTTTAGTAGGGGCTTCATCTGTTCTCAGTCCTAGAGGCTGGGCTGAGTGAAGATGGGACCCTTGAGTTTATTTGGACTCCTCCACCTAAGGAGTTTTGTTCAGAACAAATCTTATTTGACAGCCTAGGTTTTTCACTCCAGCCTTCCTGAAGTTATAGAGAGGATTCTTCAGACCTGTTTTGGGAAATCAGTGCTTTAAAGTACTAGGTCTGAGCTCTAGAATATGGTTGGCCCTAGCACCCTAGCATGAGTAGAGCTTTGTATTCTTGCTGTATAGTGTATCTAGATTTTTGCCGAATTAGTTTCTGCAGAGAAATAGATCCTAAAGGTAGAAGAAAGGTGGTACTCTTGTGTTAGCTTTACCTTGAAAATTGCATGTGGCAGATTTTGAACTCAGAACGTGAGTGGTTTTAATTAGTGATAGAAAGCTCATAATCAGTCACATTTAGTTTATTCACCACACAAGGGCCAGTGCAGGATTGTGCCCTGAGCTCGCTCCAGGCCTTTTTCCATTCCAATTTTAAGCAAGCCACATGATTTCTTCATCTCCCGCGGGGATGTTTTACTATGATCTAGTTAGATGTCGTAGTTTGCACATGTTTAGTGATGTGCAACTTTACATTTTCTTTCCCAAATATGAGGTTTCTGGTTATTTCTTCCTGGGGAAAAGTAATTGAAAGGGTCGTAACAGAGCAGCTCCATATGTGTTAATTTGAAATAGAGTCGTATAACATCTTCTGGTTTTATAGAGGACACACACAATGGTAATGATCAGATTAGGATTTCCTGGGGTATGGAAAAAGCTAAAAAGTGATCTTAACAGTCTAAGCTGATATCCAGTCACCTTCTCCACAGCTGCACCCAGTCACATCTGAATGTCATACGTGTGCTTTGTGTAACATGGCATGATAGCAGTTACACAATGAGCATTGCAGCTGGCTTCTGCCTCTGGTAATAGCTACAGATCAGGTCTGTGTATTGGTGATACCCTATCATAGTTCTTAAAGTGCTGCCTAGCAACTCTCATCATAGCTGAGAGTCAGTTTCAGGCAATGTACAGAAGGTTTTCACTGAGATTGCTAGACAGTTAAGGTTGCAAAATCCAGCTAGGAACTTGCAGATATTTGAGTACCAACTAAATGTCAAAGATCAGTTTGATTGATGTCAGTAACTGAATTAGCCAAGTTTAGGATTTCAGGTCCGCATAGATGTCTGAACGTATTGCAAGTGTGCCTTTGACCACAGCTTAGACATCTCCTAACACTGGCTGTTCTGACTAGCGTGGCAAGATTTCTTTTAATTCCTTGAATGGATTTAGATTAATAGAAAGCTCAAGCCTATTAAGCTCAAGATTGCTCTCTGTTTTTTTTCCCAGTGTCGTCTCTGATTTCTTTCATGTCTTTGCACAGAAGCCTGCAGCAAGCATGTTTTTTGAAGTGGTGTAAATTGGTGGGAAAATATTCCAAGAAATTAAAAACTAATAGTACTTTTGGAGTGTGGGAGAAGAGAAACTAGACATGCTCACACTGGGTATTGGGATAAACTTTTTGACGGTGAGGAGTGTCAAGCATTGTAAGGGGTTTCCCAGAGAGGTTGTGCAGTGTCCATTCTTAGAGGTTTTCAAGACCAGACTGGATAAAGCCATGAATAACCTGGTCTAACCTCATAGCTGACTCTGCTTTGAACAGGAGTTTGCACTTCAGGAGGTGCCTTCCAACCCAATTATCCTGTGATCCTGTGCTTAGAATCTAAAGCCTGGCATGGTTGCCTTTCTGAGTCAGGTTGGACCCATTGCTTTAGTCTTGTTCTGCCAGAGGACCCCGGGTCTTCTACATATTGTTAGTACGGTCCTAAACGTTCCCCCCATCACCACTTTCCTGTAACTACTGAGAGTACTAAAATCCCTCACCATGATAATCCTGGTTGTCAACTGAAGTCCTCCCCATGTGTTTTTGCTCTGGCAATTTTATAAGAAACAGCCTGAGCAATAGCTAGGCTCATGCACCAGGTTATCAGTTGTTGACCATGCGGACTGATAAAGGCAGTGCTTTTCATTTTTCAGTCTCTAGGTCAAATCTGATCGGCCAAAGCTAGCTACCTGGCTTGCTGGACTACCCTCTACAAGGAATGTTCAGCATACTGCAGAGGCAGCAGTACATACTTTCTACGTTTCTTTCGGACTGGATGTTCTATACTAAGTGTAAATGGGTGGCTCATAGCATCCACAGCAGGAGAAATGGAGCCAAAGATCACCCACTTCTAATCCAACCACTTTAGATTCAGCAGAGTGGGAGCAGGATAGGAGACTGACAGGAGAGGGGTAAAGCAGCTGGAGCAAGCAGTGAACATCCCCTGCATTTTTCTCCTTACTCATGCCCCCCACAAATCTGTAGGTGTGTGAAGTGAGATCTGGAATGGTAAGTGTAGTCTACACACTTGGAGTGTGAAGAAGTGAGAGATCCAGTCTGAATACATACATCATACATATCAAAAGGCCTGGTGTCCAGTTTCTCCCTCCTCCACCTTCAACGTATGAGTGAATCAGTGAAAAATAGAGGTAGAAGCCTCAGAGAGGAAATGTTAACGCAGAAGGAAACTGAGTCATGAAAGTAGGGATATATTAATTTATTTGCATGCACACAGGTGGAAGGGGAAGGAGTACAGAGGTCTATGTAGACACTGCCACTTCATAGGCAGTGTGGGAATACGTGGAGATGGGCATCTGGATATATTGTTTCTCTCTTACCCAGGGGAGAGACAAGAAGAGCAGAGAGACAAAGGGGATACCTTTCCTTCCAGATCAGACTAATTTGAGGTTGTTCTCACTTCATTACTCGTATTTCTTCCAAGTCTGGCTTTTCCACTTTTGAGCAGTTCTCAATCTGATCACTTTAAAAACTCAAGTAAAGAGCTCAGGGGTAAGAATTTGTTTCTGCCAGTAAGGATCTGAACAGAGACCATCTCCCAGACCTAGCAGCCAGTTGTCATGAAGAGTGTACAAACTGACAATCTCTGAGACCTCTCTCTCTCTCCTCAGGGTTTCTGAAACATAGGTGGGTTGTTTCAAAGTTGTTTTGGGGAGACATCTAGCAAATAGCATGATTGCATAAGCCTGGCTTTATAAGGAAACCGTACTAAAAAACGTGGGCAAGGTATGTGTGTGTAAGCAATAGTCATTAGTATCAGAAAGCAGCCTTTGGCATGTTGCTGATTGACCTAAGACTTCTTTTGTGTGTATGTGTGTACAACAAATGTTGAGGAATAGAACTCAAGGACAACATACTGACTTTGTGAACTCATACCGACAGTAATATAAAAGAATTATGAAAGAAATTACATAGGAGCTGGTGAAAAAATGGAAGTAACAAACAGTTTTTCCTTGGCATGATAGAGCTGAGAGTCTGACTTCTATAGACTGATGTGTATTGAAGCAGAAAAAGTGAAACTAATCAGTAAATATCGTAGGTCTGTTTTCTTGGGGGAAAGTAGAAAAAAATAATTTTCAGCTTGCTTAATAAGGTTAAGCTCTCCAGCAGTAAACAACCCTGATTTTAGACTGGTACTTACAACAGCCAATTCAAGATAATTTGCACTCCACAGTTTTTAAGCACTTGGATAAAAAATCAAAGCTTTGTTTTTAGAAGTCTTGAAACAGTGAGGGAGAACTTGAAGTGAAAAGCTGGGGTGTTACTACAAAAAAGTTCTCTGAGATGACCTAGGTACTTAATTTTGTCAATCTGATAAAATTCCCAATAAAATATTAGAAGGACAATATGTCAGTGAGAATGGGTTATAGAAAACAGATCTTGTCAAACTAACTTAATTTCTTGACTTTTATGAGACTCCCTGCAGCCAAGTACTTCTGTGATAGAAGTACCTTTACCTACAGCCATGGTAATGGAGCTAAAACATGAGATTGGTAAAAGATAAAAACATGAATCAGTTAGCAATTGGCTTAGCACCACATGATTCTCTGACTAATAATGTATGAATACAGTACATTTTAAGGGCATCAAAATTCAATAGATAGCAAAATAGTGGCAAAGAAAGAATCACTGTTGAAAAACTTGTATTCTTATGTGAGCCCACATCTCTCAATGCGGTTGGCAGTACTGTGTGATTTTAACATATTGCTCAAAATCCTAAGGGAAATCTAAAATACTGATAAACTTGGTAGAATCTAGAAAGACTGGAAGAACTGCTAAAAATGAAAGTACAAATGAAAAGAATAAATCACTGATATGGAAAGTTTGATTCATTTTGAGTACTGAGTCCTGACAGATGTGTGTGTTTCAATCTAACCAAATATATGTTCATATATTTAGTGACAGTGTGAATAGTATTTACAGGACCAGAACCCTATGTTAGAAAGCCGTCACACTAAAAAAGCTTATAGATATCAGAACTGCTAATCAGTGAATCAACAGCTACTATTGTGATGCTGCAGCCAAAGAAGCTGATATTGTTCTTTGATCTGTTGACAGATGAATATTGAACAGGAGGAGAGAAGGGCATCTTTTGTCTGCATTTGGCACTTGCAAAAATAAATATTTTTCATCTACTTTGTCTAATTCTATTATTATCACTTTGAGAAATACTGCAAAACTGAAGCATGACCAGAAAATAAACATGGAACCCTGAATAAAAACTTACAGAAGTGACTTGATGACAGTCTTTAAATGTTTGAGAAAAAAACTACCTCAAAGTCATCTGACTCTTCAACCTAGTAGAAAACTGTTAAGATGTGATGGAAGGATGTGATACATTCAGACTGGAAATGAGGCAAAAATCAAGTGGTAAAGATACTGAACTGTTGGAATAATTTACCAAGAGTTGTAGTGAGCCCTCTGTCATGTGAACATATGCAAATCAAGATTAAAAAAAATGCTCTAGTTCAAGCATAGCAGCAGAACATATAATTAACAAAGGGAACACCGTTAGCCTCTCTTTATTTTAAGGAGGTCAGATTAGATGATTGGGATGTTTCTTTCTGAGTTTAAGCTACAAGTTCTCAAGTCCAGGAGTATATTAGACTTTTAAAGGGAATGTAATTACTATATCCTGGAATGAATGTGCTTGTATCTGCCGATGCTGATCAGACGTGGCTTGTGGGAGCATTTCAGTGCAAAATTTCTAAACTGCATTGGAGAAAATATTATGATGATCCAAGTGGTGATCGTGGGGATTGACATTGCACATGGAAGAAGTGGTTTTAGTGTTTATACTACTGACCATTTATGCTCACTGGCCAGGATGGTGACAGAAAGCTGTGACAGCCAGAGGAAGATCAAAGAGCCTGTGAAGGCAGGAAACTCAGTGGTAACAGAGACTTCAGTTAACCCTGTGTGTAGGCTGGCAGATTAGGTGTTTGCTTCAGGAACTATTTAAAGAGACTGTAAAAGAGTTACTTGTCTTGTGCAATGATTAGGATGACTTAGTGCATGATGTTACTACTAAAGAGGCTTCAAGTGACTCAGGGAGATTAAGACTGTAGCAGAACATCTCCATCCCCAACCCCAGCCCCAAAAACCCAACAGTTTTATATCTGTTCGTCATGGAAGAAGTGGTGGAATTTTATCCTGTGGAATTTTTCCGTGTTGGAGATGCATCAGATCAGCTTCAAATCAAAACCTCAGTGAGGCTGCAGAACAGGTAGACAAAAAAGTCAACAGATGGTATTCATACAAGACTTCTTGACAGGTTTGAGTGTGAAAGAGCTGAACTACTGATTATTATTTCTAATGCTTTCCAATTACTTTGGTACAAGAAGATTGGAAGGTAGATGATGTGGTGCCAGTTTTTAAAATTATTTTGAGACCTGGAAAACTATAGGCTAATAAACAAGTTAATATACATTACTCTGAAGAACAGAATTAGTGCATGCTTGGACAAATAAGATATAATGAGAAAGAGTTAACACTACTGTTGTTAAGGGATGCCACAATTTATAAGTCTTAGGAGGGGTTCAATAAGCATATTGACGGAGATCCAGTAACTATAGTCTACTTGGGTTTGCAAAGAACATTTGTTAAGGTCACTCACCCCAGGCTGTTAAAGACATGAATCTGCTGTTGAATCAAAAAAAAGTTCCTGAAAGTAGTAAGGGGCTGGGTAATGGTAGGAAAAAAGGATTAGTGTGAAACATGGATATTTTTTTCAGATTTGTGCGTATCCATAAATGATACAAAAAAGAGGGGTATGTAATGAGGTAACAAAGTATGATAATAACAGGAGTCTTTTGGGGGAGCAAGCAAAAAAATGCATACAGAGATTTGAGAAAGGATTTCATAATATCGAATTACTAGGTCATTCGATTCCACAATATCAAATAACATAAATTATGGGTGAAATTTGATGTGGATAAATGTAAGATGATGCACACAGGTAAAGCAATTCTAGTGTTACATTTGCAATGATGGAGGTTCTGAGTTTACTATTACCGTGCAAGAATGAGATCTTGGGGTTATAATGTGTAACTTAATGCTTAGTATCACTAAAAGTGCCAATCAAATTTTAGCAATTAGGGAAAGAATAAGAGAATAAAATGAGAAACAGCATTATGCTCTGCATAAATCCATACTGTACCATTATTTTGAATATAATGTGTTGTCCCTAATTGTCCAGTCCCATTTCAGACAGGCCATAATCAAACTGGAAAAGATTCAGAGAAGGGCAGCAAAGACAATCAAATGTATCATGTAGCAATTATGTAAGAAACCATTTAAAATGACAGGGATTTCTCAAGTATGAAAAAGATTATTAAGGAAAGTTATGACAGATATCTGTAAAATCATGAATTTTCTCTGTGATAGGAGCAACATGGAGAAAATGATGAGGGAAGAATACTTCATTATCTATTTCTAAAGAGAATCTAGACATCAAATGAAACTAGCAAGTGACAAGTTTCAAACAAATAAAAGTCAGCACTTCCTCATGCAACACAGAATTAAATTGTGGAACTACCTGACATAGGATGCTATGGGTACTAAGAGGCTTTTTTGGTTTAAAAAGGGAACAGATGAACAGAAGAAAACTCCTTTAAAGATGACTAAATACAAAGGCAATGTCTCTGTCTCAGGAACTACTTGAGGTGTAAATTGCGACGGGCTAGGACAAGTATTTTGGAAAAATATCACTGCTGTTTCCTCTGTTCGTGTACTCTTTCTTACACATCCGCTCCCACTTTAGGGACAAGCTGATACCTATCCCAAACAAATACCAAATGCCTCCTTTCCCACTACTCCCCCAAAGAAGAAAAAAGTGAAGAAAAAAAACCACAGAGAAAAAAAGACAGTCACTGAAGTGGAGTGGGGGGTGGGAAGAAGAAATAAGAAAAGAGAACAAGGTAAAGACTAATAGGCTAAAACGTGGAAAATAGGGAACCAGAGAGGAACAGTCAGCACAGCACCCCTGTATTTCCATGACATCCAGGAACTGGTAGATACTGCTCAGTGATGCCCTGTCCAGAACAAGGGAATAGAAATAGCACCGTTAGTTACTGAGATCTTGGATTTTCCTCCTCCCGGGGCTTGGTGAGAAACGGGAAAGTTGATAAAGAGGGCTCAGAATTCATTGGGTCTTGGGATAGAAACTATACAGTAAAGATGTGAGAAGTGCAGCCAGAATCTTAATAATAAGTTGTGGAGGAGTCAGAAGACTGGCACACTTGATGTGCCTTCCTCCATTTGACTACTGAAGGAACATGACCTAGGGGGTCCTGTGAAGAAACTTGTGCCTTCTGCTTGATGAAGGATTTTCCCAGTAATGTTCCCAATGGTCCATGGAATTAGCCTGAAGTAGAAACTGGCAGCTGCGTTTCCTCATTCTCTCCTGAAAACGAGTGGTCCTACAACCATGTATTGTTGTTGTGTTTAAGGAGGAGGAGGTTGAACAACTGCTGCATTCACCCGACAGAGAGCAATGACTGTCCCCTTGATGTGAGGACAAACAGCAGAGGGAGTGGGGTAGCCCTTGGGGATCAGAGGGACCTCATGAACAGTAAGTACCCCCTGAAGGTCATCCTGTGTAGGTGCAGACGCCTTCAGGGACAGCAGGGAAAACTGAGGGGTGGGATTAGGTGCGGGTGTGATGTGTTTGTGATGGTGAGCTGTGGCCTCACCCCAGCAGGTACAGGGCTGGGCAGGTGGAGGCA